AATGAGTTAAATCATTTTCATCTATATAAACACTCACTATTCCAGAAGAATGTCCTTAAACATGAATGGTTTGTCCGCCATCAGAAAACTCCAATAACTTTATTTTGAAAAAAATGGCCTCTACATGCACCGTGATCGGAAGGCCGCGACTGACCTTAGTCGATAAAAAATAGGTAGCAACTGTTCCTTCGAAAAGCGATCGGTACTTTGAAGTGAGATTTTTGTGTCTTTCGGATGAGACCTAAAAACTGAATCCCTTCGCCGATATGGAGACGTCTCTATACATGTATGAGTGAAAAGTTCTCGAACAAGACATAAAACAAAACGTAAACATCAATCATCTTCTACATGCATGTATGCTTTCAAGCCAAACTATCTGGTCATCATATCAAAAGACTGTTTTGTTGATAATATAACTTATATAACCAAAATCAAAGCATATATCCAAACATACTTTGCTTTATTATAACAATTCTTTGAGCAATTTTTATGCCCCCGGATCGAAAGATCCCGGGGGTATATTGTTTTTGTCCTGTCTGTCTGTTTGTCCGTTTGTCTTTTTGTCTGTCTGTTTGTTGTCAACTTTAACCTTGCCTATAACTATTGATTGGTTGGATCTATGACTTTCATATTTCACATGTGTATTTCTTGTGACAAGACCTTTCTTTGGGTACCAACATATTTGACCTCTTGATCTTGACCTTGGAGTTTGACCCACTTTTGCAAAATTTTTTAACCTTGGCCATAACTTCTGAACAGTCGGTGCTTGGTTTTCAAATTTCACATGTGTATTCTTTGTGACAAGGCCTTCCTTTGGATATCAACAACTTTGACCTTTTGACCTTGACCTTGGAGTTTGACCTACTTTTAAAAAAAATTAACCTTGGCCATAACTTTTGAACAGTTGGTGCTTGGGGTTTCAAACTTCACATGTGTATTTCTTGTGACAAGACCTTTCTCTGGATATCATCCTTTTTGACCCATTGACCTTTACCTAGGAGTTTGACCTATTTTGAAAAACTTTAACCTTGGCCATAACTTTTGAATGGTTGCAGATAGGGCCTTCATACTTCACATATGGAATTCTTGTGACAAGACCTTTTTTTGGATACGAACCACTTTGACCCTTTGACCTTGACCTAGGAGTTTGACCTACTTTCGAAAAACTTTAACCTTGGCCATAACTTTTGAATAGTTGGTGCTAGGGCTTTCATACTTCACTATATAATCCTTGTGATAAGACCTTTTTTTGGATACCAACCACTTTGACCCTTTGACCTTGACCTAGGAGTTTGACCTACTTTTGAAAAACTTTAACCTTGGCATAACTTTTGAATTGTTGGTGCTAGGGCTTTCATACTTCACATATGTAATCCTTGTGACAAGACCTTCCTTTGGATACCAACCACTTTGAACTTGACATAGGAGTTTGACTTACTTTCGAAAAACTTTAACCTTGGTCATAACTTTCGAATGGTTGGTGCTAGGGCTTTCAAACTTCACACATGTAATCCTTGTGACAAGACCTTCCTTTGGACACCATCCACTTTGACCATGACCTTGACGTTTTACTTACTTTTGAAAAACTTTTACCTTCGCCATAACTTTTGAACAGTTGCAGCTAGGTCTTTCAAATTTCACAGGTATATTCCTCGAGACAAAACCTTTCTTTAGGTACCAACATTTTTTATCTTTTAACCTTCGCCATAAGCTGCCATACGGGGGCATCAGTGTTTCACGAACACATCTTGTTATTCTTTAAAATAATTAAGACTGTGCAGTAAGATGATTAAACTGAAAAAGAAGTGACATTGTCAAAATGGATCAGTGATATGCTCCTATACAATGAACATGATCTCGGCCTTTTAATTGACCATGACCTTTTATTTAATTAGTGATCATAGATATAATATTGCAAGTTGCGAGTTACATGTAACTAACGCTTTTAAACGAATTTTCATAACGAGTTAATAATCTCCTTATAACGAGTTATCTCGTTATGAACAGTAAGTTATCTCGTCATAACAAGTTAGTATCGTTATAACAAGTAGGTGTCTCATAATCATACAGTTAAAGTATATCATTGAGTGAATTAGCAAGATTCTAGTTCCTCAAGGTTTTCGACCATATGTTGCCCCTTTTTTGTTGATATCATGTGAAAGATCTTCTCATTCTGTTCAAGTTTTGTTCAATATATTTTCATCAAAATACTGAAAGTTTAAAAGATGTGATACAAATTGCATCAAATATTTATTCATGATTCTTCTTAATTCCAATCACTACCTATTTTCCAAACAAGGCACTTCAAGAAAATTTGAAAACCCAGTTGCACCACAGCAACAAGTCTTTTATCATTGCTGAAAATTTCAGCTCTCTAGCTTTAGCTCATTTGAGTTCTAGATCGGATAAAATGACAATTAATAAATCCAATGCTGATAACTTCCGGCCTGAAGTAAATTTCTAAAATTTAGAGAAAAGGTTTCAGGTTTACTTCATAATAAATCATCCTTGAAAATTGCATGTTGATCGATCTAACCATCTCTAAGGAATTGTCTGCGCTTAATGATAAAAACAAGATCCAATCTCGCTGAGAGAAACGAGTGGGTCTTCCGAATTTTATTAAAATTAGATGCAGGTATTCTTTCATAACCACCGTTCACGGTAGCTCAGTCGGTAGAGCGCTCGCTCCGTGATCGGGAGGTCGTGAGTTCGAATCACGGCCGCGACTGACCTAAGTCGATAAAAAATGGGTATTAACTGTTCCTCCGTCATGCGCTCGGCACTTTGAAGTGAAGTTGCGGGTCCTTCGGATGAGACTTTAAAATCCGAAGCCCCGTATCACGGCAGGCGTTGGCACGATAAAGATCCCTCACCGCTCAATGGCCGTAATTGCCGAGTAAAGGTCAAAATTTGAAGCGCTTCAGCGATATATGGTGACGTCTTTATATGAGTGAAAAATTCTTGAATGTGACGTAAAACAGCATACAATCAATCAATCAATCTTTCATAAATGATGATATGAAAAATTCCTACCAGTGAATTCATTCCGGTGTTTTGAAAACATTTTTTCTAGACGTTTGATCATAATCAGTAATGCTTGTCAAAATGCTTCAAGTTAACGAAAAATAAAGGATCAACGATTTCGCATTCTGGTCCCCAAATACCCCCTAATTATGTACCATGAGATCAAGGTATCATGATCACCAGCTGTAGGAAGATATGTTTCCAACAATCCATTCTACTTCCCTGATGTATAACGAAATACTTATCGTTAAAGAGCTAAGGATTTAAGACATTCGGCTCTCTATTATGAGTGGTCAACTCCTTTACTTCATCAAATGGAAAGTATCGTGATTCTAAAAATGTTTGGTTCAATAACTGTTAGAAGTTTCTTTTCCTTTTGCGAGATATGTAAAAAAAAAATATGGATCAGCCCTTCAAGTCCTTATAGGGACCGTTTTGTGCTTATGGTTTATTATTATTCTAAGCAATTTTGTGTTAGATATTGCTTATCAGAATATTGCTAATTAATATATTTCTCCTTTTTAGACATAATGTGTTAAATATTTGACATTCTGGTGTCTCTTTTAATCCCTTTAGGAAACATATGTCAAAATGATATTATCTATGGTTGATGATCCGTAAGATTAACATTTTTGCTTCAGTAATTTATAACAAAATTGATCTTTAAAGAATTGTTGATTTTATACTTTTGGCCCTTCTTAGCCCCTAATTTGAGAAATCGGTCCCTTTTTCGCACTATTTTTTTTTTTTTTTTAAATCTTGTCTTTCAGTACAAATTTTGTTCAATATGTTTTTAAAAATACTGAAACTTAAGAAGCAGCCGGAACAAACTTAAAAATAAACAAAATTAATACGCACACTTTGTGGATAATTTTTTTTTATATCTTAAAAAAAAAAAAACAAATGGAGCGTAGACCCATCATATGGAAAATTGTGTTATATGAGAATATGGCTCTTTTTGTCCTATTTGCTGTGTGTATTTTATAGAAAAAACAATTTCAATCTTAGTGAGATTTTTTGCAAATTGTGGATATTTTACATATATTTTAATGTTAGAAGAATTATAAAAAAAAGTTTGCAATAATATAGATTTAATTTTTCACCTTCAAATTTGTCACACTATAAGCATACCGCTCACCTTGATTGCTCATTTTCTGCTTATCTTCTTTGAGAAAAACCCTTCGCGGTAGCTCAGTCGGTAGAGCGCTCGCTTCATGATCGGGAGGTCGTGAGTTCGAATCTCAGCCGCGACTGACCTAAATCGATAAAAAAATGGGTAGCAACTGTTCCTTCGCCAGGTGCTCGGCACTTTGAAGTGAAGTTGCGGGTTCTTCGGATGAGACCTTAAAAACCGAGGCCCCGTGTCGCGGTAGGGGTTGACACGATAAAGATCCCTCACTGCTCAATGGCCCTAAAGGCCGAGTAAAGGTCAAAATTTGAGGCCCTTCAATTCACCGGTATATGGTGACGTCTCTATATGAGTGAAAAATTCTCGAATGGAACGTAAAATTACATACAATCAATCAATCAATCTTTGAGAAAATGATTTCTTTTTCTTCGATCATATAAAAGTCTTGTCAATCTATACAATAATAAAAAATTGAAAAAGAGAGATATGAATAATAGAAGGATCTTCCGCTAAAGGCGAAAGACCCTAATAAGATAAGTTAGAGAGAAACAATAGAAAGATCTTCTGTTGGAGACGGAAGGGCCAAAAATAGTGGAAAAGAAACTTAAGAATAACAAGAAGGTCTTCACCGAAGACAGAAGACCTTAAAAATAGTAAGAAGAAAACTGACCAAAACAATATTTCCGCATTGATGGGGAGGCATACGTGTAACTACTAGTCATTTAAATCGATTACACTGTTTTTACCACTTTCCTTCTTGCTTCTTCTTTAAGTATAATTATTGTAATAAAAACATTGTTGAGCCTTGAAATGGAAATTCTTTTATTTATTCCTTTCAGAACGAAACTTCAAAATGCATAGTATTACATATGCAACAACAATTCAAACAACAAATGCCAGTCGAGCAAATCGATTACTATTGGGTCCCTGTACAGATGAACTCCGTGATTTATTACGTCACTATGTTCCACCAGCCACATTCCAACGAGTCATTCAGCAGTACAGAACCAGTTTATCATCTCTTAGTGCAGTTCAAAAAAATCTTATCCTACCAAAGCATGGACATTACACCGGAAACTATGATGACATGGACATTTCATTACTGTATACGCTATTACGAAACATTTGCAATATTCCTGGGCATTCGAATGGTTGGGGTGCAAGTCCTGATCCACATGACAACTCTGTGTCTGCGAATGTTGAACGAATTCGAATCATCCGTAATGGCTGTTCTCATCTTTCAAATTCTTCCTTGTCTGATTCTGATTTTAATCGTATTTGGTCTACCATTAGAGCAGCAGTTATGGACCTAGACACTTTGCTAAAAAACGGGAATAGATATGAGAGACTTGTAGATTCCTTGCGTTACGAAACGATGGATGCTTTACTTGATCAGCAGCACAGAAGCTACCGAGCGAGACATGAAGCCGAGGTATTATCGAATAGAAATGAGATAAACATTCTAACAAGTAAGTGTGAATTGAGAATGCAAAGTGTCATAAGCATAACAGAATAAATATTTCAAAGTATGGTAACTATCTTAGTGTGAAAAACAAACAGAGAAAAAGCCAATATCTTAAAAAGGGATAATAATACTGCATTGTGTATTAATTCAGGATTTTATTTAATTTACAGCTACAATACAAACAGCAATACCGTGTAATATCAGAGGTATTTCAAAATATTTCATATTATTCAAATTAACACAGTTTTTAAACAATTTTAATAGTGATGGAAAGAAAGTTGCTCCAATTACAAGTGCTTATGAATGATATGTTATATTGTGATTCTTTAAACAATAAACTGCTTTCTTTGGTTGTTAGTTCAGGAATTAATGTTGCAGCTGTTGAAGAAAACAGGCATAACCCGCTTATACGGGTTATGCATTTTTTCTGCAACATCTGCAACATTACTTGTAAATTTTTCTGCAATGGCTGCAACGTTAATTTCCGTACTAACAAAGAAAGAAAGACACTTAATTGTTTATATTTATATCTGTACAAAAAAAAAATCATTTAAAAAAGGATTTAGAAAATGAAATATTGTATTATTGATATGTACGTCATTGTATGTTTCTCAACCACTGCTCAAGAATGCATGTAGAGGTGATATGCAACGCGATGTAAAGTTACTGATAAACGACAATGGTTTTCTTATGAAAAAGGAGATAATATTCAGTGGATGTAAATATTCACAAATTAACGACCCATGAATTCATAGATAATTCTTGAAGATTCTGCAACCATTAATTATTATACATTTATTGCATGATCGTGAGGGAAATATGAAGATTTTTCTTGGCTGAATAAATCTTCATGTTTCCCAAACATTCATGCAATGAATTGTTTATTACACCGAAATAAGCAAAAACTTTAAAAATAAACATAACTATCAAATTCAGCACCGCTCTCAAATTAACTTTCAATTTTAATCCGAAGAGGTTGAATATGATGAAAAGCATGACAACGACAGGGAAATATGACGTTATATGGCCCTGTCACGTGATAATCTAGAACCAATCAGATAACGCGTTGTATAGAATTATAATAATGAGGTAAAATAATATGATTTATTATGATAGTTCAAATATAGTCCTTGGGCTGAGGTAGTGGTTAAAAGTTCCAAATGAGAGGTAGTAAATGTAGTAGGTTCTTGTGGAATAACAGCAACATCCTGGGTTCATTTATTTATTAGATCTAAGACCATGAATAAATTAGACCCTATATAACAATAACAACTATTAAACAAGGTATAATACATGTCATCATTGTAACCAATCTTTGTACTTCATCTTTTATATTCTTATTGCATAAAAGTTGATATGAAAACAATTTTCAATTCTTTACAAGTCACAGTTTTATTTATCATAAAAATATTTTTTTTTTAAATTTAGTTATTTAAAGTGAAAGAAAATCATAAAATAAAATCATACCATTACAGGCGTGGATCCAGGATCTTTTTCCGGGGGGGGGGGGGGGGGTTAAAATAATGCAACCCAGAATTTTGTTGATAGGCAAAAAAAAAAAAAAAAAAAAAAAAAAAAAAAAAAAAAAAATTGAAATAAAATAAACCTAATTTCCATTTCCAAAAGTGAAAATCCTATCTCGCAGGGTAAGTGGGTAAACGCCGCTTTCTTTACCATGTGCATTGAATAACTCCGCAAATTCTAGATCCGCGCGTGCAGTCATTTTCTGATATTAAACGATTCGAATCAAATAATCTTGTCTGCATATTGAACATTTACATAAATACAATCTCTTGCATTGGACAGAACTTACACGAAATTCAAATCAATACAATATACATGTAACTAAAATGCTCAGAATAAGTTCTGTCATGACTTACAAAAAAATGGAACAAAACATAAACATTAATATAAATCATCTTTAATGTTGTCAAAAGGTCGAGATAATAGAAAATGTTTATACTGTACAAGTAATAGCTTTTCAAAAAGCTTGCCTGACTAAATCAATATTTATGGAACGTATAAGCAAGAGAAGTGCTAAACGTTTCCGTCATCAAGGAGCGACGTAGTTGCTATACTTCATTACACAAGATGTTCAATTGACTTTCTCAAAAGCCATAACCAAATATTACAGATTAACGAATATCTAAGACATGCCACTGTTTGGTCATTTATTAGTTAGTACACGGGCTGACTTTTTACGTCGGGATGAAACTGCAAGTGAGTTTGGATAGATTGGAATTCTGGGAAAAATAGTAAGACGAGTCGTTCTGAAGAAATTCATATTACTCTCATCAGAGGGTGCGCTTCTTCATGCACACTCTTAGCTGGTCAGTGATAGATTGATGAGACGGCCTCTCATAGCTAGAGCAAAACAAGATACTGATACCCCCTCCCCCTCTCTTCCGGACAAAATCCCATGCGATGATGGTCTTACCATGTATAATGAATGAGTTTAAAATACATCTTTACGTTCCAATCCAATTTAAAAAATCGTTTACCGTTTTACTTTTCAATAGATTACAGGACCTTTCTCATTTCTTCTACAATAACATGTTTTTATGAAATGAAAACCAATACAGATCAAGATGTCTTCATTTTTTTATTCTTTACTTAGAACCTTACGGGAATGAATCCCATTCCTCTACGGGTACTAGCCTACACTCTTGTCGCTGTATCAAAAGGAAACCTTTGTTCATCACAAAACATGGAATAATATGCCACTGGCTATTTTTCTATGGTTTTTAAAAAGCTAACCTTGTAGCTTACATTATTTTGTAATAGTGAAAGAAAAGGGGGAAAGCAGACTGAATCAAGAAGGGATGTCCCATTTACCTAGTGTAGGGAGTTTGTTTATGATTGGACTAGTCAACTTATGGAATAAGCGGGATACAAAATAGAAAGAATAATTTAACAATAATCAATTAGCAACAATAATTAAACAACATACAATAAATCAATCATTTCACTCAGTGCTACATATACATGTATACAAGCTACTCAAAGTGAACGAGTGAATGTCGGTAAACTATTTATTTTACTCACTTACACCAATAAAAAAGCAATCAGACTTGCAATCTACTTTTAAACACCTTTTCACTCACTTTCGCACACATTCAAAATCACAATCACACTTAGTCATAATGTTAAAACCTGATCTGAGATCTTGGAAGTAAACCCAAATTAATTTACTCAGAAAATATAAACAAATACACCCAAGACATCCTGTCTGATGTGATGTGACCAGTTCTGAAGAAAAGTAACACCACCTCAAAGGTAGGGAGTTCCCTCCAAAACCTCGACCAATGAAAAGTACTGACAGCTCACTTCATTATAGAAATATTACCCTTTCACGATATGCTTTTCTGCTAAGTCGATATATTTATGGATTGGCCGAATGAAAGGGCTACATTAATTTTGTTATATTATATTTTAGAGAGTTTGACAGGACAAAATTTGAAAATAATGAAAGCAAACTTTTCAAATAGAGGTCAAATTATAGTTACATGTTTAATGTGATTGTGTTACCTTTATACTGATAGAGTGTTTTAGTGAGTGTATATGTACCTATTAATAAGACTACATTTTGTTTTATTACATGACTTGTATATTTCTAATCAATTGAAGAAAAATGTATCAAATCTGTTTTAACATAAAGTAGATCAATATTCAGAACATTGCTACCTCTTAACAATTATTACAAAACATCACTGACAATATATTACAATATTTAGGAACTAAAAAATCTTTTATCCCCAGAAACATCAATTAAGTCATGTTAGCTATATAACGTAAACACTATTATTGTTTTATAGAAGATAATTTCTTTTTTTAGAAACATCAGGTCGATATGCATTTCAGAATCTTTAAATAGTAACACAAGTCAATATGCTGGTATATATTTGAGCGTGTGATCAAGTTTTAGCCAATCAGAGAGCTTGGAATAATAGAGAAAAATAATATATATTTTGCAAGTATAGCCCTTTCATGAGGTCGATTAGATATATCGACTTCACAGAAAAGCATATCGACCGACTCCTATTTATAATTGTGATGTTCTTTTATAATTACCAATATGTAACAATGCCATGAATAAAGATCTACTTTAATACTAAAAAATATTAGATATGTTTTTCATAAATTGATATATCAGCCACCTGGTTTCTGTTCCTATTAAATTTAATTTGTGTCCCGGTGTTTGCTTTGTGTTTTTTGTTTGTTTGTTTGAATTTTGTTTTAGGTCCCTCTCGAGAATTTTTCACACATAGGGAGACGCCACCACTTGCCGGTGGAGAGCTGCAAATTTTGTCCTATGCTCGGCACTTACGGCCATTGAGCAGTGAGGGGTCTTTTTCGTGCCAACACCTACTGCGACACGGGATTTCGGTTTATACGGTCTCATCCGAAGGACCGGTCTCCACGTCCCACAGTGAGATTCGAACTCGCGACGTAAGGATAAACTCCTTACCTCGCGACTCTAGAGCAGACGCTCTAACCACTGCGCCACGCGGGCGACTGTTTGCTTTGTGAAGGTCCAATGAAATCTCTCTCTCTCCTGAAAAATACTCGTTTCATGGTTCTTTACAGCAGTCTTTCTTAACATTTTGCCGTTTGAAATTTTCTAGTTCAATAATCAACAGCAGACATTTTAATGTGCAATTTTCGTTGTTCCACATCGCTTTTGTATCAGATAGTATTGGTTGTGGATGTGTTGAATTTCAACTAAGCGTTTCGATGGAAGAAGTTCAGATGCTTTGCACTCTGATAATTATTCGAACGTTTATCTATAAATGTTAGATGTATTAATCCAAATTCAACCTTAGTAGGCACACAAAACCGTGTTAACTTCAGGCACCAGGCTATGAAAATGCTGAAAGTTCTTTTTTCCCTCTGGAAGTAGTTACTCAGTATATAGTGCAGTATTTTTTGTACTTACAGATCTTCATAGTGCCTTAATTCGGAATTGGAAATTGGAAGACACCTTTTATTTTGAAACACACAACTTCCCTTCAATGTTGGAAAAAGTAAAACAACAATCTTTCATGATATTTATTGGCGCCCCAGGGGCTGGGAAATCTGCTACTGTTCGACACATTGCTATCAAACTGCAAGAGGACAATTATGATGTTTTACCAATTAAAGATATCAGTCTCATAGAAAAATATTGTAACACTCAGAGAAAGCAATTATTTGTTATTGATGATATATTTGGCAAATTTGTTCTTGATCAGACATCTTTGAACATTGTGCTCAGATACGAAGAAAGAATAACAAAACCTGTTCATGAAACCATAATTTTATTTACATGCAGAGAGGTTGTGTTTAATGAAGCAAAACAATTTAATTCATTTTTAACAAGACCTGAAAATGTGATAAATATGCACAGCTTTGAAAATAATTTGAATACAAATGACAAGATGCAAATATTTCAAAAATACGGCTTAAATCATAATTTACTACAGCATTCTTCGTGGAATAATACATCGGAAATGTTTCCTCTCCTTTGCAAAATGTATTCAAAGGATCCAAAGTTAGAATTGCTTGGTGGTGGGTTTTTCGTGACTCCAGTTCCATGTATCTTGAAAGAATTAACAATGATGCAACAATACAACAAAATTAATTATGCTTCCCTGGTCTTATGTATGATGAACAAAAATACCCTTTCAAAAGACATTTTAAAAGATGGCAATTTCTTCAGAACAATGAAAACAGTCTTGGAAAATTGCAAAATTGAAAAAAGTACTGGCATTTTCAAATTCATTGATGCATTGACAGGTATGAATGGAATATACACGAAGAAATGTGGAGAACATTTTTCATTCCTTCATCATTCAATGTATAAATTAACTGCCTACCATTATGGAGAGCAAAATCCAAACCAGAATGTTAAGAATGATGAATGTCGTGCTTTTCTCAGCAGGACGCAACGGGTGACTCCGAATGATGGTGATGACACCAGGTATGAGTACAGGGAATCGTTTGATTTGTTTTTAAAGATACATGAGGATCATAGGCAAGTTTTGATTGAGAAAGCCTATAGCGATTTAGAAAAATTAAGATTATACGAAGTTTTTACAGATAAGCGATTAAAATGCTTTGGATTTTGTAGAGCTTTCATTTACGAGATGCAAAGAAGAGGATACAGACATTTAAAGTGTTTATTTTTGAAAAAACTGGAAAACATAATTGATATACTGAATGTTGGAAAACGAATTATTGAATATTGCAAAGAGAGGGGTAATTACAGTGAGGAGAAAAAGCTAAAATTATTGGTTGATGAAATAGATATCTCACAGTCACAAATAACATATTGCGTCAGAGTGATTAGCTGGGTCATTTACTACGGACATCACGAAATTCTTCAATTCATCGTAGACGAAATTAAGAAAAATGATAAAATCTATGAAGTTCTATTTCACAATCAACACAATTGTGTTCACCAAACATTTAAAGAAAACACATGGTCATTTGCAAAGGAGCAGACCCGATTGCTTGTTCTGGCCTGTTACAGTGGAGACTTAGAAACTGTTAGAATTATTCTCAAACACTGTTTTAATGTATCACAATCCATAAACAGCTCTCCATTGTCCATTGGTGAATGTAAATATAACAATTTTCGGAGCTTTGTGACACCATTAATCGCTGCATGTGAAGTTGGAAGTATTGAAATTATTACAGAACTAATAGGAGCTGGGGCGAAGGTCAATTCTCATTGTGCGTTCGAAAGTAAATACAGCTATCCGTTAGTAGTTGCATGTAGGAATGGACATTTAAATGCAGTAAAAGAACTGATTAAAGAAGGGGCATTTATCAATTCAGTCTCATCATCGTTTGGGCCGTTGACAGTTGCATGTAGAAGTGGACATGTTGATGTAGTCAGAGTACTGTTAGAGTCTTCTGCAAATGTAAATCAAAATGATAGACATAAAACTCCACTAACTGTTGCATGTGAGTATGGATTTGTAGATATAGTGCAGGTTCTAGTTAGTTTTGGGGCTGATATCAATTTAAATGACGGAAAAGGAAAAACCGCACTAACAACAGCATGCGAATATGCACATACAGAAGTGGTAGATTTCTTGCTGAGTAAGGGTGCCAGTTGTAATCTTCGCGAAAGCAATGTGTTTATTCCGAATCAACTAGGGAGGACACCGTTGATAATAGCATCAGAAAAGGGTCACTTATCGATAATCCAAAAGCTTACAGAATACAAGGCAGATTGTTCTCTTTGTAATATACATGGTCTATCACCACTGTATATTGCATTGATTAAAAATAAGATAGATGTGGCGAGGCAGTTAATTCGCAAAGGTAATTTCGATTCCATAAATGGTAGTAAACTCCATTTATTCAAAATTATTGCAGATTTGCGACAGTCACATGTGATACTTGATTGTAAAGACGATTGCCAAACACTTAATATGGTGTGGTATAACGATAGCATCAAGGACTTGTGGATGACAATAGTAAATGAAGACTGTGATGTACTTCGTCATCTGCTGAGAACTGGTTTAAATGTAGATCAGTGGATCCAACTGGATAGTAAAAGCACTTATAAAAATGAAAGACCTTTGTTATTTGCACTGATTGACGAGCATTTAGGGTTTTGGGGTGTTGAGGAGAGAGTTTGTAAAATAAAAATTTTACTAGAAAGTGGGGCAAATGTTAATGTCAAAGTAAAATATGGAGAATATGAAACAGTAACAGACGCTGAAATGCAAAAAGAGAAATGGGTTTCTTTGGACAAATGCGGTGTAAGTTTATTGGAAAGGTCGAGAAGACAAGTTCTGAAATATAAAAAGTTGTTTTTGTATATGAGCAACGAAAGAAAAACTGAATTTGAAGAAATTCTGTGTGAGGTTAAAAAACATGTCAGAAGATACTCCATATGAAAGAATAACTACAAATAAACAATTTCTTTTCGTATAGGACAACAAGTTTTTTATGAATGTTTGTTAGATATACAAACATTGAGATGGTATTGATAATTGAATGTTATGTGTAATTACCATATATATCAATAGTTTTTTAGGTCACCTGAGTCACTCAGGTGACCTATTGCTATCCGTTTTCGTCCGTCGTCGTCCGTCGTGCGTTAACTTTTGAACATTTTTAACTTCTTCTCCAGAACCGCTCTACCAATTTCAACCCAATTTGGTATATAGCATCTATGGGTGAATGGGAACAAAAATTATGAATTTCATGGTCCCTGCCCCCCTGGGGCCTGAGGGGTTGGGCTAAAACCACCAAAATTAATGCAATCTTAAAAAATCTTCTTCTTTACTCCTGGACATCAAGCAGTCAAACTATTGGCATGAATGTAATAAGCAATGAGCCCTCTACCAAAATTGTGAAATTCATGGCCCGAGGGTCAGGGGTTCTGGTGCGAGGGCGGGTCTATATAGATCATATAGTGAAAATGCATTAATTCTTTGAAAATCTTCTTCTCTGTTCCTGGGTATCAAATAAACTAACCAAGTATATAGTTATGATGGGCAAGGGTGCCTCTTCCAAAATTGTGAATTTCATGGCCCCAGGGTCAGGGGTTCTGATGTTAGGGCGGGGCTCTATTGATTATATAGTGAAAATGCATTAATTCTTTGAAAATCTTCTTGTCTGCTCCTGGGTATTAAATAAAGTAACTAAGTACATACTTATAATGAGGAAGAGTGCCTCTTCCAAAATTGTGAATTTCATGGCCCCAGGATCAGGGGTTCCGGTGTTAGGGCGGGGCTCTTTTGTATTATATAATGAAAATGTATTAATTCTTTGAAAATCTTCTTCTCTGCTCCTGGGTATTAAATAAGGTAACTGTGTACATAGTTATGATGAGCAAGAGTGCCTCTTCCAAAATTGTGAATTTCATGGCCCCAGGGTCAGGGGTTCTGGTGTTAGGGCGGGGCTCTATTGATTATATAGTGAAAATGCATCAATTCTTTGAAAATCTTCTTCTCTGCTCCTGGATATTAAATAAACTAACTAAGAACATAGATATGATGAGCATGGCTGCCTTTTCAGAAATTGTGAATTTCATGGCCTTTGGATCAGGGGTTCAGGTGTTAAGGCAGGGCTCTATTGATTATTTGCATCAATTCTTTGAAAATCTTCTTCTCTGCTCCTGGGTATTAAATAAACTAATTAGTGCATAGTTATGATGAGCATGGTTGTCTCTTCCAAAATTGTGACTTTCATGGCCCCTGGGTCAGGGGTGTTGGTGTCAGGGTGGGGCTCAATTGATATATATAGTGAAAATGCATTATTTCTTTAAAAATCTCTCTCCTTGATATTAAAAAAACTAAGTACATTTAGTTATGATGAGCATGGCTGCCTCCTCAGAAATTGTGAATTTCGTGGCCCCTGGGTGAAGGGTTCTGGTGTTAGGGCGGGGCTTTATTGATTATATAGGGAAAATGCATAAATTCTTTCAAAATCTTCTTCTCTGCTCCTGGGTAATATTCTAACAAAGAAAGTGCATGGTTATGATAAGGAAGAATGCCTCTTCCAAAATTGTGAAATTCATGGCCCTTGGGTCAGGGGTTCTGGTGAAGGGGGGGGGGCTGTATTGATTTTATAGTGAAAATGCATAATTTCCTTCAAAATATTTTTTTACTGCTGGTAATAAAGCAAAGAAACAAGTGTATAGTTATGATGAGTAAAGTGCTTCTTCCAGAATTGTGAGTTTATGGCCCCTGGGTAAGATGTTCTGGTATGGGGGGGGGGCTTTATTTATTTAATAATATAGTGAATTTGCATTTCTTTGAAAATCTTCTGTGCTTCTGGGCATATTCGAGGCAAATAGAGTAAAAGTTTTAATATACAAGGGTATTTTTACCAGAATTTTGAACACCTGGATTATTTAGTTAAGTGTTCTGGTCCTGGTCAGGGTTCTATTAACTTGTATTCTGCTGAGCCAAGTTATTCCCCTTTGCCATTCACCTTTGATAATTAATCACTGTAAATAATGTATTTGAAAGGTTACTAGTATAAGAGAATTATGCAAGAATATTTATTGTATAATACAAAAAGTACTTTCTTAGTTTTAATGATCAGGTAGACTTGGAGTAATAGATGAATAAAAGTGAGGCAAAAATAACTTATCTTTTTTAATGTTCTTCAAAGGCCAAGAGAGACCAATGTGAGAAGAAGTAATTTGGGATTAAAAATAGACATTTTGTTTATAGTCTGCATGGTAATAGTGATAAATGGGGAACAGATAGATTCTATACCAATTATTTTGTTGATGCATATCATACAATTTTTCTTGCTTTTGGGAAGCAAAGCTTCATTTATCAGTTTATGGATCCTCTAAATTGTTGTGTTGTACTCAGGTGACCGTTAAGGCCCTTTGGCCTCTTGTGATTCACTTCAGACGAATATCGTCTGATATATTTATGTGTTTCTGTTTTCTGTGCAGCCACTTGAAATTCACCAAAAAATAAAAACGTCTATATCTTAAAAAAAAAGGCTTGCTAATACTTGTAAACTGGACCATGTCATCATCATAATGAAAACAAATTTGGGGTAGATGCAGCTAAATTGTCACTTGCAAAAGTTTGCATCTATTTAGGGGAATTATACACCTGCAGGACTGGCCAGCCACAGGTTTTAGTGGTTCACTAAAAATTCAAAAAGAAAAGAACAGGTAAAATATTTTAATTGCATATTCGTCAGTTCAACAAGAAAATGTTAGCCATGAAAGTATTACCAAACATAAGCCAGTATGTCAAAAATAGAATTAAAGAGACTCACTGTTCTAAAAACAGAAATTTATATGAAAGCCCACATTTATCAAAAATTACTCTCTGGTATATACACAACACAGGAAAATTAATGTTAGAAAAAACTTCTTCTTCAAAACAATGCCAAATAATAATAATATTTAAAATCCGAAAAGGGAATGAAAGTGTGCAATTAAAACAAGAAACCTGGCCCATTGTTCACTTGAGCCACCTTAACCTTGGTGTTCTTAGATTTTTAATAGATTCTTATCCCCTTCATTTTCATGAAATATGACCCGATTTTGTTCCCTCCTTATTGTCATAAGGTCGAAATGGCTTTTATTACATTTTTTCAACAGTGAAATGCTGTGAATTATTTAATGAATAAAAGTGATATTCTCTCACAATGTGAAAGGATATCAAGGTAAGTAAAAAAAATTCCTGGCCTGTCATAAGATAGAAATGGTAACTAAACCGTCTTCATAGAGACTAAAACTGCGAATTTCTTCCCAAATATGTTGCTAAAGTCCATGTTATAATGTCAATCTCACAATATTGCTTAGCTATGACGTTTCAACCGCTCAACTTTGACGTCACAGCCTATTATACTATGCTACGAAAAGACAGAGGCAAAGGGAAAATCAAAGAAAATGTACCAAGCAGAAAATTCAGTGTTTTGTAGTTGGATATGGAATTTATTTCACTCATGAGACAGGATTTTTTTTAAATATTTTCATTCGTGCTTGGTTTAAATCATATCTAACAAATCGTGTACAGAGAGTTATTTGGAAAGGGAATCTTAGTACTGAACAGATGTCAGATGAAAAAAATGTAACTATTTGGGTTCCATAAAGCTCTATTTTAGGCCCACTGTTTTTTATCCTGTACATTAATGACTATCCACAAGGCTTAGCACAGAAACACTCTCATGTAAATAAGTATGCAAACGATACTTCACAAGATGTAATAGATAAGTCAGTAGAAAAGTCAAAGATGTGTGAAGACCTACAACGCAGTATAAATTGGATTGAGCAAAATAATTTAATCATAAATCTGTCGAAAACTCAATGTATGCTTGTTGGATCCGCACGAAAATTATCAAATTGTCGAAAATCAAATTTAGTTGCAATCAACCATGTCACAGAATGCGTTCAAAAGTCAATATTACTTAGTATTATTATTGATGAACCGTTGTCCTGAAAAAGTCGTATTGAAACACTTGTGAACAAGATTTCTAAGAGAATTGCCATTTTAAGAAGAAAAAAGATATTTTATGGCAACTGATGTTTATTGAAGATTTTTAATGCTATGGTCCCCCCCTCCCCCCCCCCCCCATTTTACATAATATGTTATATATATTATATTATTGCACTATATGGAGCAATCCAAGAAATAACGAACATGTTAAAAAAAAAAGTCTTAATATTACTAAAACGTTCTGCTAGGGTAATTTTGAACACCATAATTTTTTCAAACACCATCTTCTGTCATCATGTTGACACAACTAAACTGGATGCCTCTATCGGATTACTTTGTGTATAAAGTATTGCATGGATTAATGCCAGATTATTTTATGCATCAGAAATTAGCCAGATGCAATCAAGAAAGAAATTCCAATTCAAATTTACTGTATGTACACATGACAAAGACGGAATATTATATATAATCTTTTAATGTTACAGGCAATAATATGTTGAATATCTTGAGTGAAGTGAAAATATCAGAAATTCAAGTGTTGTATGTTTTAAGAGAAAGAGATCTCGAGAACACCACCATACTATTTAATTTTGTTTGGTACTGATTTATTATATGTTCTCCATTATTATTTATTTAGCTTATATATGTACTCTATTTATGTGTTATTGTGTTTTTTAATGCCTAATGTTATATTTGAAAAAAAGGATGAATGAATGAAAAGCTGTCGTGTTTCATTTGTTGTCTGTAAACTCTTTACATCTTTACTTCTTCTCCGGGTTTATAATTTGTTTAACCATATATATGATAATACAATATTATATTGTTTAATTATAATCCAA